AAGTCTTAAGTATTGGCAGAGAGCTCATGAACACAACACAGACTATGTGGGAAATACTTCAAAGAATCAACAACTGGGATCTCATCTTATTAAAAAGCTTTGAACATCAAAAGAAATTACTAACAGAGTGAAAAGACAACTCACAGAGTAGGAAAAATTTTAGCCAGTTGTCCCTCAAATAAAAGATTTTTATATAGAACATGTAAAGAACTGAAAAAAAAAGCCAGTCCCCCAACTCAAAGATCCAATTCAAAAATGGACATCTGAGATGAATACATACTTCTCAAATGAAAAAATACAAAAAGAAAATAAACATATGAAAAATGCTTATAATCATTTGAGATTTGAGAATTGCAAAGTAAAACATCTCTAAGATTCCATCTAAACCAGAAAGAATGGCTATCGTCAAGAAATAAACCAATAACTAATGCTGTCACATAGAACTGTGGGGAAAAGGAACCCTTTTCAATTGCTGGTGGGGGTAAACACTGGATTAGACAGAGACAAATAACAGAAAGGAATTGAGGCACTAATGGCAGAGATAAAGCTGCAGAAAACCCCAGGAGAGAAAGCTCAGCAAAGACAGGAAGTAATCAGCGGTGATGAATACCTGAACAAGGGGGCAAGCTGAGGGGTGAGTGGGTTCTAGGGTAGATATGGAAAGGCAGGTGGAAATAATTAGAATAGCTCAGATGCAGGAATTAGAGAGTATGGGATGTAGCAAGGTCAGAGGCAGAGCTGTGGAAGAGAAGAACTCAGAATGACAAGGGTGGAAAATAGAGACAAGCAACGTGAAGAGGATTTTAGAAGCGAGGAATGCAGGAAATATGAGATGAGAGGGAACAAATAAAATATAGAAATTTGAGGAAGAGAGGCCAGGTGAGCGTTGAGGCAGATGCCCACAAAGGTGAGAAGAGGGTAAGTACTGCAGAAGTGAACAGAGCAACAGCCTCATACAATGTGCAGGAGGCTATCGTGTTCTATCATGGTCTCGCTGTGCTGTGAAGCAGCAGAACTCACCCCTCTGTGCTCTGGTATCTTTTCTCCAACTTCCTTTTATCCCCTATCCCATAGTCTCCCACCCTTCCAAGCCTTTTTGTAATCATTTTTCTCTATTAAGATTGAGTTTTTAGGCTATCGTATATGAGAATATGTGGTATTCGACTTCCGTGTAGAGAAGAGGAGCTGAAAGGCTCCATACGTGAAGAAACGCTTAGTAGCTGGATTTGATCAATGCATGCTGTATAGATGTGTTAAAATATTACACTCTGCTTTATTAATAAACTAACACATGTTAATAAAAATGTAAAAAATAACAGTCTGGAAGAAGTGATTTTGAATATTTTCACCATAAAGAAGTGAGAAATAGTTGAGTAGGTAGATGTTTACCCTCATTGGACATCGCACAATGAATACATGTGCTGAAACATCACATGCTACATCATCAATAGGCACAACTTTTATATGTCAATTAAAGAAGTAAAAATTAACTTTAAAAAAGGAGCAATGACAAGGAGGAACGAGAGAGGCACAAACAGGAGCAGAGCCAGGGGCCCAAGTCAGAAGCAGGGTGGAATGGAGGCTCAGGATAGGAAAGGAGGGCTGGGATTTTGCCCATTGTGTTGAGCATGTTTTAAAGACTATTAACTTCACAATAAAATTACTTTCACAACTGCAATACCTTTCCATAACAACAACTGTCAAAATACTGTTTATCACATCAGCCTTAAATCAGTGACTTTATTTTAGTTGTGGGACACTTTTCAGAGACAAAAACCAGTGTGACTTTCATAGTGAACTAAACATTTGGAGGGTTTTAGCTCCTCACTGTCAGTACGTGTGTGTGTGTGTGTGTGTGTGTGTGTGTGTGTGTGTGTGAGAAACGGATGCAGTGAGAATACACGGCGCAGGACAGATTGACTTTTTATTTCCAGATAATTACACCTTTAATTTTACTATTATTCTTTTATAAAACAAGCACATTCATTCTGCTTGATGATTAAGTTACATATTTACTAAATAAGAAAACTGAGCCCTTTTGGGTTCTTCAATACATATTTGCTCCTGAAAGCTCTCTGCTTTTATAGCTACATAAGAATATACAGACTCATTCCCTGTTAATTGTTTTTGTTAGTTTATTTGTTTTTTGGGTGGGGGGCATTATTCCCAGGATAAAAATATGTAATTTCTCAGTATCAACTTACTGGAAAGCAGCGTCTCAGACTTACTCTACAAATCAAGTGTCTGCCAATTTTGTCCGCTTTACTTGAGAGTCCTTAAAACTCCTTTGCTGCGCCTGGGCTGGCGCATCCCAGGGAGCCGGACAGTGAGCACACGCCCACCGCCCATCGCGAGAAGCACCTGCGCCTTCAGACGCGGCGCCGCCTCGAGGCCCCCGCCTCGGGGACTGAGCTTCCCTCTCGCAGCCCGCACCGTTGAGCCGCGAACGAAGTTTCTGCCTCATTAGCCGCGCAGCCTCAGCCCTCAGGATCACTGGTTGGGAACATAATTGATTTTCACACCTATTGGAAGCATGGGTTTAACTGTGTGAAATTAAAAAGTAGTTGGAAAACCTTTTCTCAAGTTTTAGCAACCAAACCGCACAGACGTGATTTTAGAAAAAAAAAAACGATCCAGCTCACACCTTGAACTTGGCCATTAGGGGGCAGCCAAACATCGCTCGCTACAAAATGCTGCTGGGGTTCTGCTGCCGGGGAAGATAGTTTTTGAAGGTTAGCAAATTATTGCAGTAAATAGCAATTGATAGTTACAAAGTACAGACTTAGTACTTGATATTTTAAATTCATATATATATATATATATTATATATATGAATTTTTAATATTGTTCCATTTAGTCCACCAAAAAATCTTTTTCATAAAGGTGGTTAGAAGCTGGTTAACAAGGATATACAGTAAACAAATTAATACTAAAATATATGTAATAATGATGAGGTGCAAAAAATAAGAGATGTTACAAATAGTTGTCATTTTATAGACTAAAACAGTCAGTAAGGTGGTATCAGCCATTTATTAGGCACTCCAAAATAATCATGCCCCAAAGATAGAACATTTTTAACTTTTTATTTTCTTTAGCCTGAGCTAAGAATTAATCACTAGTATTTATTTAAATATAGAAAGTAATCCTTGCTCTGAAAAAATTCATATACATTTTCTTTCATGATTGTAACAGCCCTACCACTTCATTTATTTTATATTTTATAGTCTCTAATATTGTGCAGAAATGTTGTACTAATTTTATGGCCAATATTTAGGAGAAGACTATGGAGGAGTGACATGTCAAAGCATGGACTAATATGTCTTACTTTGCAAAGGAATCATTTTAAATAAAATATTGAAGATAATAATCAAAGGTAAATTCCCAGGCAGCTATAACTAAGAGACAATTATTAGGTTATATTATGGATCTGAAATTTACACTTACCTTCAAATAAAAAAAAGAGATCTGTTTAAAATTTCTTTCTTTTTAGTTCAAAAAATTCCACTGAATAATGGAAAATCATAAACCATTACTTTAGAAATAAGTGTTTTTTAGTTTTATAAAATGCAAAGGAAAATCAATTAAATGCATTATCACAAGGAAAAGCATAGTATTGTAAAACTGGTAATTATAGTTGCAGGATTTCACATTAAAGAATTTTTTAAGAGTATAGATGATCTCTATAATATAGTTAAACTTACTAGCCTACATTTAAACTGTTTATTTTAAAAATTCTATAAATTGGAATATTATAAATATAGACAGGAAATGATCTTCTGAAATATAAAGCTTTAAATTAAAGAAACAGACTGCTTTTTCTATAACTCAATTTCAGGAAAGATGAATTCACACATCGTTTCTCCTTTGATATAATTAGCTTTTGTATAAAAGAGATTAAGACACAAAATAAAAATTGTGTCAAGTACAGTAGGTAAGATTTTTAAATTACTTGAAATGAAAATTTAGTATCATTGATTTAGTTTCAAAGTTTCAGTATCATTTCAAATTCAAAATATGATTAAAATATTAAAACTTCTTTAAAATCTTTGTGAGATGTCCTTAAATATTGTACATTTGATGCATTTATTTTCATAAATATATTTTACTTAAAGATAAAAATATTCCGTTACAATTCATTTGATAAAGTTATGCATTTTATCAATCTTAAAAGACTGAAAGGTTTGTTTTGAAAATGAAAATAATTTCAAATTTTAACATTTATTCTTAGAGGTTGATCAAAAACTTTTAAAGAAAAACTGTGGATTAAAACAGATAGATTTTTGGACAATAATGATAATAAATCCAGCATTTGTTGGGATGCTGAATGGGTTATTTGAAAGTGTACAGACTCCAACCAAAACAAATCTCTTTTTTCAAAACCAAGTAAAGACTTAAGTTTATTTTTTTTGTTAGCTGCACAACAAAATATCTCTGATTTCAAAACTAGATATCTGACTAAAATTAAAATTTCTCAAAACTCAAAACAGAAAGAAATTTTTCAAATAGATATATTATTATAGATTTTTAAATAACCTTATTTTATATAGGTTAACTCTTAGGAGAAGATAACTATTCTTTAAATTTATCTTTGGCTTTTCAGTTCCCAGGTTATATTAACAACAAAATAGAGTTACTAACAATTACATATATTTTACGCACATATTCCAACAGGTTGAATTTTTCAAAAAAAATTCATATTATTAACTTACTTTACATTTTAAAAACAAATTCTAACAGTAGTTTATCTGTTATAATCAACATTAAAAATTATTTCATTTGTAGCTTTAATAATATATAAAAGTAAGTGTCCATAAAAAACTTTGCAATTAGAAACTGCTAGGCTTCATGGGTTGCACTTAATGGTAAATGAGAACAAAATGAAGGCTTGATACCTATTTTTCAAATATTGCAATGTCTATTGTACATGCCACCAAATTAAACAGATATTTTATATTCTTTGGGACTCGCACTCGTTTAAAGTGAGAAAGCAACAGGCTTACCTGTGGCGTCCATGAGAATGATGAAATGAAGTAGGAGAAACATTGCAATCAATCTGATGCTGAGAGTACCAACATCAGAAAAATAGCAATAAGTTGACGGCAATTGAGTTATTTAGAGGGAGCGTCCGTACACCTCTGAAGGAGTTCTGATATAGGAACGTGGGCGCCTCCCATGTTTCTGAGCATGCTCACAGCTAAAACTTCCCTTGCATGAGGGGAAGCAGACTCTTTTCCCTAAGCAGCCTGCCTTTTTTGTTCTTTCTTTTTTTCTGTTTTATTTTATGTTCAATGTGCAGATGTGTTCTTGGTCATTCATTCCTTAGGGCGTGTACATGGACATAAAAACATGACTTTAATATTATTAAAAACTGCTTGATCTTACTTTTATCCTTTCAAAGTGTGTAGAGCAATTTACATTATTTTAAGACCAGACATATAGAAATGCTTCAATATGAAGGGATAGAGATTTAGGCTGTGAAACTCTTTACAGGCTTGTTTTTCATGCAGCCAGCATGCAACAAGAAGATACTGTTTAACACACAAAGAACACCATCTCCTTTGCAGATGCTCCTAAGTGTTTTCTAATGACATCCAGAGTGACGGTAGTAATTAAAATATATGACTATGTATTCAAGAGCTACTTACTGTGAAACTTTTATACAGCACTTTGAGCTTCACATACCTCCTCCACAATCATAGTCCTATTTCCAAGTAATTTACTTTATCCTGGCCTTCAAGTCTGTGTCGCATACCTACAGTGAAATTAATTATGACATAGGTCTTATACCTTGCAAACAGTTTTGTAAACAGAATAACTTTTTTCAAGTCAAAGTATGAAAAGGAACTTTGGTTGTGAGATTCAGCTGATTCTAACGTAATCATAGTGACCACTCCAAAAAAAGATGTTGCATTGCCAGATTTCCTTGTTAGAATACATATTTTACTAATGGGAAATAGCTGTGTAGAAAACAGTTTGTAGTCCTGAGTTGGACAGAAGATTTTCCAAAGAGCCATCAGGGTATTCTTATGTGTTGTTATTTTCTCTCTCTCTCTCTCTCTCTCTCTCTCTCTCTCTCTCTCTCTCTCTCTCTCATCAGTGATCAAACTTAGGACCTTGCACTTGTCAGGCAGGCGTTTCTACCACTGAGCTATATCCATGGCCTGTTTAATTGCATCTTAATAAACTTGTGTGACAACTATCAGGTAATGGTTGTCTGTTGTCATCAGAAGTCATGAGGTGGACTTTTCTTGTTCTTTCATTCCAGTCTTTGATAGAATAAGGATTCAAACAGAGCTTGAAATGAAAAGTATTTTAGTTATCGCGTGTCATCAGTTCTTCTCTTGAGAAGTGAGCTAAATTGTCTATGATACTTTCCAGATACATTTAGATGTGTACTCATCTGATTTTTCAAACCAAAAGAAAAAGCAGTAAAAGGAATAATGACAAAGATGAAAAGAAATACTTGAAGACCTAGTCTTACATTTCAAGCAATTTCTTCATAAAATTCCAGGTTTTTTTTAAATTAAAAAATTCTTATTTCACTTTTCAAAACCTCAGCTGATTAGGTTTCTGTATATTTTGTGTTTTGCTAAACTGATGGATGCTAGTTTCTGGTACCAAAACTTTGAGCATGAATTTTTAAATGCAATTAAATACCCATGAATTGCCTAGTACAAATCTATTTGACATTTAATTGTATTTCACAAAAATAATTTTGAAGAAAGAAAATAATGTCAAGATTTCAAAGAAATTAGTTTAAACTTAATGAATATTAAGCTTTAGTAGTAGATTTAATTTGCTAGAAAGTTGAATCATTATCTCTTTCAGATAGGATTTTCAAAGTTAATCTTTGAAATATTAACACCAAAGGAGTGATGACTCAGTAATTAAAGTAATAGCTACAGATATTCTCGGCTCATCATTGGCCTTTTAAAGCAGAATGTATAAGAATTGAAATACCATTTCATTTTATGCATTTTAACTTTGATTTATCTTGGTGAATATGGTGCCTTTTGAACTGCAACTAGAATGGCTGAAATGTACACGGAGCTGTAATATATGTGTTTAAGAGTAAATGAATTCACTTTCTCCTTAAAGATATAATTGGTAAGGAGGTTCCGGAGAGTGCTTTATGCAGAGTTTAGATGGAAGACCTAAGTGCAAACTGGTTCATTACTATATATTAACTTCAAAGCTATATGAGTGTATTTTATTGATCTTGCCTGAATCAATTCATTTTGTATTCCAATCTCCTGTCAATAGCATCCATCTTGGCAATATTATATCAGTTCATTTAAATATATATTTACCACTCAGTATAATTCTGGCCAATTCAAGGGGGTTATTTACTACTGAATTACAGATTACCCAGTTCTTGTGTGTGTGCATGGTTGGGGAACGAGCCAGGCATTTGCTTTGACGGTACAATAGCATCTATGCAAGGCTTCGAAATCATGGTTAAATACAAAGTTCTTAAATTAAGACCAGAATATCTTGGTTTTAATACATTTTTTAAAATTATGTAACTTTTCCTACAGACTATGATTCACCATCTTGTCAAATTAATGTTTTTAATCAAGGCATTTAATAAACTACCACAGTACTTAATGATAGTATAATCTTGTAAAAATCTATCACCTCCATAGACTAGTTTTTTTTTGTATTCACAAAACCTTATGCTTTAGCAGTTTAGTATCACTTTCTGTTTTCAAAGAAAAGAGCATACTGACCATAAATAAAGTACATTACTATACAGTATTTTTTCCTCAGAAAGATAAATTACAGCACAATAAACTTCAGAATCTTAAACTTATGCTAGCAGGCCAACAATGACAATGTTCACTTGAGTAGTCTCCATACGATAAATCAAATTGCAGTAAGACTTTAGCAATTCAGCTCTATGAAGTATTTTTAATAGTTATGTGTGAGCATTTCAATGTGAGTTTACAGCATTAATTTATCATTTGAAAAGATTGATATTTTATATAGCATTTTCAGCAGTGCTAGCAGATTTATTGGCACACTTCAAGCAGAGGAAAGCTAACTGAATCACCCGTCTCATCAGCATTTTGTGTCTATTATCTGAGCAAACCAGCCCTGTTATAGGCCAGAAAGTCTAAGTGTTCTAACCCCAGTGTTCTAAATTTAAAATAATTTAAGTCATGCTCCATTTCTCTGGGAATTTTCACTCTTGGCAAGCTCAGCTATTAAGAGCATAGCCATAAAATCGGGGTAAAAAATATCACTGAGATATCCACTATTGGCGGTGCGGTAGATTAGACACTTTGAAAGGCTTTTTTTTTTTTTTTTTTTAACTTCAACATAATAGCTCCAGCCTAAAAAAAAATTTATTTCACTTCTAGTGTCTTTGAAATAAAGCAAATCCAATCCAAGGGAAAACATGATACAAAACAAAAAACAAATTCTGAGATCTTATTGCAGCTCAGTAAAGACGTGTGAATGGCAAGTTTACTTTGTGACCAAGTGTGGATATCAGCGCAGGAACTTTTAGGCAGAGCTTGGAGTCAGGGGCCGTGAACCACAGCCCTCTCAGGGGAGCTAGCTGAGGACTGTGAAAGCTGACTTCCCTAGTGCCACCCAGAAAAAAGACAAATTCCGAGGGAAAACACCTTCAATTTAGACCCTTACATTTTACCCAGATTATCAACCAATTATTTGTTCATTATCAAGGATCAGTCAAACACTCATAGGTGAGAGATGACACAGAGGCAATAAATTTAGAGCCCCAAGGACTTCAAATGCTGAAATTATCAGTTATGTATTACAAAATTATTATGGAGTTCATATTAGGAGATAGGATGTGGCAAAGCTGGCTGGGAAAATAAATGGGACCCATCAATTACAAGATTCCAGGGCAGCAACAAATAATCTCCAGCACCCCGCATGTGGTATCCTTCTCAGAGGGTCCCAGCAGACGTGGGTGGCATAAATGAGAGAGAGGGGTGGGACTGGCCAGTGTGGCTCCTATAGATTCATTTCTCTTGTTTCTCAGCCCAAATTCATTTTACAAAACTATTCTTCCCGTATCTTGTCACCCCTCATTTTCAAATAAACTTTTGACACCATTTTTGGCTTGTCTCATCCAATTCTTTGTTTAAGCTGAGAAGGACCTGGAATATTTTTAATTACTAAGCCATTTATAAAAGAACTACCTGATGACCATCACAAAATAAGTATGAAATAACAAATCATTAAAAAGAAGATAGCATGGAAAATATGAAGGACATTAAGACATTTTGAGAAAAGCATTAAAAGTCAATATACAGTTAATTGGAGTTTATAAAGGAAAAATATTGAGATGGATGATAACTGACAGTTGTATAGAACTTACAAAATATAAGAATTTATGGACACAGTAGAACAAATTCTATAAGGCAGGGCAATAGAAACAAACTCAGATATAGATACTTGGTTTTGCAATTATACAATGTGAAAGATACAATGATATTCATGAAAGATGACTTTAAAAAAGAAACTAGAGAGAAAAGACATCTCTTGCAAAGGGAAAATTAGAATGCTGGCTGACTTGTCAACCATAGCCATGAAAGCCAGAGTGAGGCTAGTAATACCCAATGTTCTGAGAGAAAATAACCAGCCACAGAAACTTTTGGGTCTAGAATGATCTTAAAGAGAATGAGTCTAGCACAAAGATGGATTAAAAAGCAAAGAACCAAGACAAAAGATATGAAGTTTATTGGCATTTCAAGGAAGTGAACTTGAAAGATATTAAGACATTTTGAGGAAAGCATTAAAAGTCAATACATGGTTAATTGGAGTCTACAAAGGAGAAAATATTGAGACGGATGATAATGACTGACAGTTGTAACTTTTTACCTCAATGGCTATTAGGTAAAAATCAGCTTTGTTTATCTTGAATGATGGATTGAGAGATTAAGAAGTAGCATCCCGGTTTACAGGTATTAATACTTCCAGGTATTAAGACACACCCAAGTAAGGAAAAGTTGGAAATAAGGCAGATTTTTGTACCCATATGGAATTGAAAATATCCTGACCTTACACAGTGGTACCTTGGTACATGAATGCTTTTCTTTGCAAATAATTTGGTTCCCCCCCAAAAAATGCATTAGGTAAAATTTTGCTTTTGTTTGCAGACTGCATCAGGTGACAAATGCAACA